GAGCTGGAGTGCGTGTCGGCGGGAGGCAAGCCAGCGGCCGAGGTGAGTGAAAGACGCTTTTATAATTTTTAAAAGTTACGTATGGGTGGAGAAAACACACTTTGCGTAATAAAGAAAACACTTATGAATTCAAAAATTTTCAAAATTTGTATGCATTTCCGCCGGAACTTATTTGGCACTTCAACAAAAATCACATCGTTCCTTTTGTACGTGTGAATAGTGAAATTCCTATTCCTTATGCCCGATTTCCACTAGGCATTAAATGGCAAAAATGACAAATGACAAGTTGGGCATTAAAAAATTTTCGTATCCATTATGTGGAAAAATAGTCATTCTGCCGTTATACTGAGTTTCGCCTGAAAAAAAATCACCCGAAAATTTGTCATCCGCCCACAGTAATAGAGCTGGGATACTATCGATAGTACCGCCACTCGATAGTTTTCGAAACGATAGTTGAAAACATCGATAGTATCGATAGTACTATCGTCGTGAAAGGTATTGAATAGCGACGGGCAAAATCTGCATATAGTTTTTTATGAAAAAATTAAATTCGGATTTTGTTTGTTCCTTATGAAGTGCAAAGAGTGAAAATGGCCATAATAATACATTTCTAATACTACAAAACAAACAAAACACAAAAGATATTCGTTTAAATTGACTACTCATACTTATAAAAGTTCAACTGAGATCAAATACGGAGGCGCATATAAAAATCCGAACAAGGGAAATTATGTATTAATATTTTACCAGGTTATAAGACAACGAATATAGCACCACAACATTTTTAGCAGTTTTGACTATTTTTTGTTTACTTATTGTCTACTAATTTTTTATAAAAGTGGTACAAAACATAGAAAAAAATACAAAATCATTAAAATTTCAAGCTTTTTAATTCGAATTTCGACAAAAATTTTGTGTAAGCAGTTTTAAAGCTTATAAAATTTTACTATAACTCAGTAAGCTTAGAGTTGCTAAAAATTTCAATGACTTAAATTTTTTTTGCCGACTGCTGTGAATTTTCTTGCATAAAAAAAATTAGGACATTAATGAAGAGACATTGTGAAGTTTCGCTAAAACCGACATCGATAGTTTTCAAAAACTATTGATAGTGGCGACAGTTTTCAACTCGATAGTAATATCGATAGTATCCCAGCTCTACACAGTAAAGCCATGGAAAAAAACCAAAAGTGAAGATTGAACCGGTTCGGGGAAAATGAAACTCGTGATAGTTCATTTCTACAGAGTATTTTTTCTTCATTTCAATGCCTAGTGGAAATTCGGCATTAAGGTTCTTCGTTCTACGTATTTATAATATTTGAACACAACATTTTGGCAAATTTTCACAGAATATTTCTTGTGCAATCCGATTGTGCTGTTAATTTTTATTATTTTTTATATTGGTAAAAAATACTGGTAAAAACTTGTTATAAAAATTTCCGGTATTTTTTAAATTTTAGTTATTTTAGCGCATTTTCGGTGAGGGCGACCCCTGCAGTTTAAAATATGCTACTGAGCAGTTTGGAGCACTCCGCATTTGACTAGATGGGTAGTGAAACTCGATGCAATCAATACATTATACTATGTTCAAACAGCCACCTAATTGGCAATTATGTAAAAACCTTTCACCAATTTGAGCCTTAATTGTTACCCAATGTATCATACAAAAATATAATTAATTGGCAATTAATTTGTGTCAGATTCTCTATGGAACCCTGCTAGGTATGTTTAATTTTGACTTGGAGGTATGTTTATTAAACAAAGAGCAATCAACTTTCTGGTCCATTTCTACAGCTGATACTCCACCAGGGATGGAAAATTTAATTATAAAATTGAAGCTAATTTACGGAAATCTACCTAAAAGTAGATAGATTGTACCTGAAAAGTAAATATGTATTTCTATATGAATAAAAATAGGAGGATAACAATTCCCATCGACGCCATATCAACTTCTGTACTCACATTAAAAAAATGTTGGCTTTGATAAGAATCTCTTCGAGCAGCGCGAGACAAAACTATACTGCAGAAAAAGTTAATCACTTTCCTCTATCTGGCGAAATCAACCACTATTGCATTACTTTGACCACCCTTCTCTATCATTAGCATGCCCATTCACAAAGAAGGAAAGCTGTTAGACCAGTTGCCCGCACCAGAAAATGGACTGAAATGTCAACAAAAATAAGAACTAATTTCCTGAGAAGTTATTTGATTGCGTTCCAAATGTACCTAAAATTGTGTATTTGTACCGAATGTACTTTCAAAGTAAATAAAGGTACGATTGTACCAGCTTTTCCATCACTGTAGGTAATCCAGCAGGTGATTTCGTAAACCTTAATCGCCTCAGCTAATTGGCTTTTTTGAACGTATTCTTAATTACAGTAGCGAAAATATCCGATTGTGCTGTTGTTATTCGCACATTTTCTGTCAGCGGTGTTTACCGACACACAACACCTACTGGAGAAGAGCGATTAAGAGCTACTGCAGTGTTCCTCAAAACTATTGTATGAAAGGAATTCCAATTTGATTCTTATCCTATTCCGGTTTCCGTTGGTGTATTTTGATACCAAAACTGCAGTTTCGGTGCCAATGTGATTTCAATTTCAGACGGAAAATAAGATTTAACAGTTTTAAAGCTTAGCTATAGTCGCTAATGCATGCGGCAATGCAGTGCAAGCGGATAAAGCAGTGCATCTACGCACTTCGTTTATTTCGGTTGTTTTAATTTATTTTCTTATCGCTTCCGTTGTATGCCTCAATACCTTCTTTGCCTAAATTTTATCGCACAAATTTTTTCTTCTTCCCCTTCGCAGATTACTTGGATTGACGGTCTGGGCAATGTGCTCAGCAAAGGCATCGAATATGTGAAAGAGCCGTTATCAGACTCGAGACGCATAACAGCCAAGTCGATACTGAAGCTGGCACCGAAGAAAGAGCATCATAATACGACTTTTACATGCCAAGCGCAGAATACAGCGGATCGCACATATCGCTCTGCCAAAATACTAATCGAGGTGTGTAAGGCGGCGGGAAATTATTTTTGAATTTTTGTTCGTTTCAATGCAAATTATCTCTTTGAATTTAGGTCAAATATGCACCCAAGGTAGTGGTAGCCGTCATTGGCGGCGCCTTGGCTGGTGGTCGCATTCTCGAGGGGTCCGAAGTTATACTATCCTGCCAGGCGGATGCGAATCCACCGCCGCAGAGTTATCGTTGGTTCATAAACGATGAATTGGTGACCGGCGATTATACAACGAAAATGGTGAGTTCTGTACATTCATTTCGCTTTCTTTTGAGGGAAAAACTCATTGCTTTATTTTATTTGCTTGCAGATCATACACAATGCCACGCGCCAGTATCATGAAGCTTCGGTTAAGTGCGAAGTTGTCAATGCGGTGGGCAAAAGCGAAGAGACTGAAACCTTGGACATCAGCTGTGAGTATTAGAGTTTTAGATATATTTTTTAGATAGAGGTGCACAGATCTGTAATAAAGAGACTTCTTTGAAGGGGGTTGATACCTCCGACGCGGTGAGAAGATATTTTCAAACGAGGCACTGAAGATGGGCCTACAATGGAACCAATTTGGGTCCAAATTAAATTTAACAACAAATGGTAAAAACTCGATGTAAAGAGCGTTCGCTCTCTTTTAATGAGTTTAACCTTCTCTAATCGCCGTCGATGAAACCTATGGTGATCCTATGTTATCCCCTTGGATTTAATTCGATAACCAGTTCTATGAAGGCTCGCACCTCCTCCCGCCTCTGGAAAATGATTTTTTCTAACTTTTTCAAGACACACATGGTGGTAGTTTCGCAGGTGATGTGCCTGATAGTTCGCGCTTTGCTTGGTCATGTACATAATTGGCTCCGGTACAATTGGACGTTTCAAAGATCCGCAGCTCGCCAAATCATCAGCCAGGTTAGTGCTCTGAAAGCCACAGTACCGAGGTTATTCTATTTTTCAATCATGTACAGCCTCAACTTACATTACTGATCGATTTTTGGTTAGGTATGGGCAAGTTTCAAGGCCTTCAGAGCAGTTTGGTTGTCACTGCAGACCACTACCTTAACTAAGTATTGCCAATAAACCTCTAGTTCTGTTTACCGTCTTGGGACCGTCAGTATATTAAATTTTTACCGAGCTTCCCAATAGGGTTTCTGGATTTCTCCATTATTTTCTTGTAGAGAAGGTACCAAAGGACATTCCAGATAAAAGTTTGTCATTTGCGCTTTTTTCTGATAACCTTCCAAACAAGTCTCTGTGTCCGGAACTCTGATCTTCGTGCCATAAGTCAAACGACTGAGGTCGACAATATCGACTCGACATATCGTCTCTTCTTGCTCTTGGAGTTTGTAATCCCGGGGTGAAAAATCCCACAGGACACCGTTCTTATTGCCGTTCTTATTACATACAAGGACCTTATTGTTGTGACCAAGGTTCTACGCTGAAATGCTACAGCAGAATGTGCAATGATCACAGGAAATGCCGGTCTCAAACCCCAAGACGCTGACCGACAATTTTAAGTGCCTTTGAAGTTGTGTTACTTCCGGGAAGGTTTCGGACCAAAAAATTGAGATTTTAAAACCTATCTAGAAACTTAATTTTTTAATTAAAATAATCTTTTTTCTTTCAGATGGTCCTATCTTCCGACACCGTCCCATCTCTGTTGAGGCAGATCTCGACACCAATGCCAATTTGCGTTGCGACGTGGATGGTAATCCGACGCCAGAAATCGAGTGGATCAACGAGAATACCGATCAGGTACGTCCATATATTCGTCTCAAACTACAACTTCAAATGATTATCTCTCACATAACTGTGTAAAATGTTCTCTCATTAATATTTACTAAATTATTTCCAACAGGTCGTTGGCACTTCGGCGAATCTTACACTTAAAGTGACTGCTGAGTCTGCTGGCCGTTACTACTGCAAGGCAATAGTTTCCGGATTTCCAGAAATAGGCGCCGAGGCAACGATTTTCGTTAAGCGTGCACCGATTATCACCTCGCATAAGGTGCAATTCGGTGCTGTGGGGAGTCGAGCGAAAATCGATTGTGTGGCTTTCAGTGTGCCCAAAGCAGAGCAGATTATTTGGTCATTCGATGGCAAGGTGATAAATATGAGCACTGCCGATCCAGATATATACATTTTCGAGGAACAACATCTGCCAGAGGGTGTGCGCGCAGCGCTAATAATCAAAGAGAGTCGCTCCAGTCATTATGGTCGCTACAATTGTACGGTGATGAACTCGTATGGTAGTGACTCATTGTTGATCAATTTAAGACCAGAACGTGAGTTTTAGAGATTGAAATGAGCTTTTGTGTTGTTTTTATTATTGAAAATTCTTTTCCAATTGCTTTGCCAGCTGGTTCAGTGCCCGTGCTGCTTGTCGTTATGGGCTCACTCTCCTCGGTCGCCATTGTAATAATGATTGTGATGCTGGTGATTGTTTACATGAAACGCAGTAATAAGAAACCCATGCCGGCGGATGTCATACCGGAGGCATCGCGTGGTGGTGATAAACTTTCCGATCTGAAGAACGAATTACGCAGCAAAGCTTATGATGTTGATTACTCAGAGGCGGGCTCTGATGGTTTGGCGATCAATCTGACGCAAACATCCATGCCTGATGTACAAATGAAGGGCGCCACGCTGGGTGTGCCACTGGCGGGGCCAGTGAAGTTGGACGACAGGTGAGACTCAGCGCATTCCTTTTATGGCAAGTGCGTTTTAATAAAATAATTTTTATTATACAGGTTCTCCGGCGAATTCAGTTACAGCCGCCAATGCCACATCAAAAATTTGAAGAACAAAGAGACTGTCAACGGTTATGCGCCCTATTTTGAGTACGCGCTCGACTATAGTGCTCCCACGGAGAGTGGCAAGCCCGGCGGCACGGCTAACAGCAATGCCAATAAGCCCCAGTCCAGCACAATCAACTCGGCCACTTTGCCGCACTACACAAATCCCGTCACAACAACTGGCAACCTCAGCTTGCCACGCAACCGCAACGATATGCAGCAGCAGCCGCAGCAGAGCACCGCACAAATGGGCAATGGATTCCTAGGTAAGCTGAGGGACTCTTTTATATTTTTTTGCGCTTACTAACAGAGTATTCTAATTCGGCTCGTTTAGGCGGTCAATCGCTTCTCCAAAACGGCATTGACAGCCGCTTCAGCGCCATCTACGGTAATCCCTACCTGCGCTCAAACTCATCACTGCTGCCGCCTTTGCCACCACCAAGCACGGCCAATCCCGCCGCCACACCTGCGCCACCACCCTACCAACGTCATCACCACCATCCCAGCGGCCAGCAGCATACGAACATGAACGGCGGTATTGGCGTGAATGCGTTGAAGAGCTACAGCGCCGCTGCGGTTGGCATTGGTATTGGAGTCAATAGCAGTAATGGTGCTGGCAGTGTAAGCGGTAGCAGTTCGAATTTGACAGCCAGCAGCAATACGTTGGCGGCAATGACACCGCTCACACAAGCTGCACCCGTTTCCAGCGCCACACCGATAACCACAACGACGCCAGTGGGAGTGTCGGTGGCGATGGCGCAAAGTCCCTCCGGCCAATTTATCCTACCATCGAATGGCAAGTCGAAGAATGGCGCCTTGGCTACGCATGTCTAAGAGAAAGCGTAGGCGCTTGCGCCATCCACGGCACCTTTCAAGCACGTACACAACAGCACCCTGTATACAATTTTGAAGCACATTGTACTTTAGTCGCGCACGCTACCCAAATCCAACCGCAGCATCAAAAGCAGTTAGAAGATAGTACACGCGTCCTTAAATGTCAAGCTACGCACATGCGCATCCGCATTCAGATATTTATGTGTGTATGTATTTATATATGGATGTTGTATGTATGAAGATATATGTACATACATACATACATACATATCGCTGCCTTAATATAGAAAGGCCCTATCTGACATCGTCGCTGATATACAAAAAGCCGTAACTAACTAAAAATCGAAAATTTACGTTTTAATTGATTATGATGCATTTGATCGCATTATATGGCCCCAAATCATTTTATGCAATAAAAGATTTTAGTTAGTTACGGCTTTGTGTATTTCAGCGACGATGTGAGATAGGGCCTTTCTATATTAAGGCAACGATATGTGTTTGAGGATGTGGCCCTAAATACATAGATACATATACATATATAAATTGTGTATACATATATACATATATCTAAGCCAATCTAGGGGTCAGCTCATTCTGAGTAACTGGCCTGCCCATATCATTAGCGTATCTGTAGCATAAATTTTTAAACAAAGTGTATAGAAATTGTAAATTGCTAATAACTGAGAAAGCTGGCAGAGATTTTAGTCAATTAGAGCAAATTGTAAATTTTTAACGATAAATTTTAGAATACTAGGAGATGTGATGAACTAAGTATGTTTATGAAAATAATCAGATGCCCTAAAAGGTAAAATAAAATAAAAAAGTATGCTTAAAATTAAAATTTAAAAAGTCAAATAAATAACTGATATAAAAATATAAAAATTATGATGAAATACATTAAAATGCACTGAAATAAGTATAAAGAACTGTAAAATAAAATAAAAATAAATACATTTAAAAAAGTATAACAATGAAAAAAAATGAATAAAGTGATAGAAAAAGTATTAAAAGGAAAATAACTTAAAATCCAATTTCAAATGCAAGGAAAATTTAAAAGAAAAAATTTAAGTAAAAATTATAACGAAAAAAAAAATTTTTATTAAATGAAATTAATATAAATTAAATTAATTAATAAATAAGACAATTAAAATATAATTTTTACTGAAATATAATGGATAAACATTAAAAAAAATTTAAATACAAAAATAAATTTAAAACTAAACCAAATATATAATATAGTAAAACATAAATCAAAAATGTAAATCAAATAAAATTAAAAATTCAAATTTAAAAATTTCAATAAATTAAATCAAATTATTACTTAATATAAAATAAAAGTAAAAAATTTGGTTCCATTGAAAAACTTAAATAAAAAGTCGAAATACATATAACTTAAGTTAAAAATTAAATTAAACAAACTAAATTAAATTCAAACAAAGCATAACAAGCAAAATAAAATTGAAGTAATAAATAAAATTATATCGAGTTTAACTAAATTAAAAACAAATAAAAGAAAACATTAAAAAAACAAAAAAATAAATTTAAAGAAACCGTAACCGTCATTTTGATCTGAAAAATAACGAAACCGAAACCGTTTCAAGCACAGGAACCGGTTCCAATCGGTTTCGAGAAAACTATACAAATCAGCTGCAGGATCAGACAACCACAAACTTCGTTTTCTTCAGTAGCATAACTGTGCCGTTACAGGATCAAGAATTTCGTCGATGCTTTTGCAAATCTCCGTTGTGGCAAAAATGAGATTTGGTAACCCTGAACTATCAAGGCAATGCCTTCAAAGGAAACGGGTTTTTCGTTCTCCTGTAAAATTTGAGCTCGGTATGATATGTAAGTTGTTTAAAGGGCGAGTGTGTTATTAAAAAATTGTGAGTGTATTGCAACTTGAAAGCAAATTCTTGATCGTGTAACGTCCAAGTAAAACAAAAGAAGCGATAATTTGTGTTTATACGTTCAAAAAATTGTTTTCAATTCGCTCACACGTAGGAATTGTCATATGCAGGGATTTTTATTTTGTTTTTTTTTTTCATATTTTTTTAATCACATAAATTTGAAAGAAAAATTTGCCTTCAAGCTAATAGACAATTTGCAAAGTGTAAGTGTGAGTGATTCACAGCCTTTCCTTTATGTGAATTTAAATTAACCTCTAAGTTTAATGTCCCAAAAAAATTTAGCAAGCTTTGGAAGGTACATATTTATTTAATAAATAATTTTTTTTGTTTGAAACCTGTTTGGGTGCGTCTGCATGTGCAAAAGTTTCA